TTCTCATGCTCTCCCTCTTCAGGTCTCCTCTGGCACAGCCCCTAAGAGCCTCAGCCTCAACCCTTTTCTAGGGGCTTTCTGAAAAGCCTGGACTGCCCATTCCGTTGCAGACAAGTACCCCTCACTCCAGCCTCTCTTTGACTCTCCCCATCCCCCATGTGAACCCTGAGAGAGTACCTCCATTCTTTCTTCCTCTCCCTCTATGGATGTTCCCAAGCTGGCTGGGGATTACGGACCTTTGCTCTTCTTCCACCATGACTCATTCTCTCTTTCTCTTCAGTTGTCTTTAAATCACTTTTCCTCTGACCTCTTCAGCTTACCCATTAATAACCACCGCATTTCCCAACTTGCTCAAGGATTTCAGCCCCTGACTCAGGGCCTTTCTTTCCCACCAACTTCCAACCTTCTGGAATTCCAGCCTCCCTTTTTCCCTTGTCTTAGCTAGATGCTGGGAGCCACTAATGGCCTCTGATCAGGCAGCGATGTTATCAGTGCTACTCTTTCAATGATCTTGGTAATGGGTGATGAGTTGATTTGGTATGAGGGGAGGCAGAGAAGGGAAAGGCACCCCTGTATTGGGCACAATATGATTTCAAGAACAGGAAGAGCTCCATTTTTGGCCCAGATCTCTGACGTTTTCACTCATAGATCATCAGAGGTAAGGATCCTCTCCCCATCAGAAGACAGGGCAGAGCCCTGAGCAGGCCAGCAAGTAGCCTGTGGCCAAGGACAGTGCAACAGGGTGATGAAGAGCCTCCCCTGCCACCCACAGAGACACAGAGCTCAAAGCCACACAGCATCAGTGGGCAGGCCCGGTTCTAAAACCCAGGTCTGTAATTCCACTTCCAGAACTCTCCTTATTAGTGATGCTGTCATGGACAGGGACCGGAGGACAGCTTCTGGTAGCAGTTTAGCCTTAGGATGGAAAATGAAATGCTAAAGGCAGTTTCCAGGTCCCCTAATATCAGCCAGTGGCCATCCCTCTTCTGAAGCCAGAGCTTTTACTGTCAGTCTATCTGCCTGACGTCCGTGGGTGATGTGCACCAGCCCATGTGTGTGGAGTGTGCTAGGAGAGAAATGAGGCCATGAAAGGCTGTAGCAGGCCCTGGGGTCCCTGATGGCCACAGGCACGGCGTGTGCAGTCAGACTAAGTCTCCTTCAATCTCAGTCACCTTCCTCAGCACATCTCTAACCAAGGCCTCTCAGAGTGCCCAGCCCTTACTTCTGAGCAGCCTGGGCAACCTGCCTGTGCTCCACACTCCCACAATCATAAACAGAGTGTGTGATCCTGTGAATACCGGGGTTATGGGAGGAGGGCAGTCTAGGCACTTGGACAGCTGTGTCACCACATCCTTTGTGCCCATTGTGCCCAAGCAGGAATTGTGCTGTTGGCATGTGTTGAGTTCTTATTGGTTTCTTTGATCCCTTCCTTGACCCTTTTCTCCCCCTTCCAAGACCTATTTTCCCATGGACTCCCTTCCTCCCACCTATATCCAGACCCTCCTTCAACACCCAAGCCCCTATTATCATGGAAAATATCATTGCCTCCAGTGCCCCTTCTTCCTTAGCTAGATTATAAGCTGTATGGGGACAGGGGCTGTGAGTTTGATATTCTTCTGAATCTTCACAGCATCCATCACTCAGTACAGGTTCCATGTATATTTGAAAAATATGAGTGAGTGTAAAGTAACTGTGCCTTCTGTGTGTATCATTGACAAGAGAAAAAAGCCAAACCCAGCCGACGGGAAGCAGAGTATTTGAGTTAAGCTTAAGCCGATGGGTGCTGGGGGAGTGTGGATGTCACCCAGGAAGGCCTGATATGAGCAATATGTTATGATATTACAAGAGAACAACCTCTCTTAGCAAATCAAATCATTACCTCCCCCCATTCTAATGTGAGCAGAGAAGCCCTCCACGTGAAACTGGGGATGTACAAGGGCTGGGTCCTCGTGCCCAGCCTTTAAGTTTTATCTTCCTGAGAGTCCCTCCCATTTTACCTAGCGTGCGGCTCTCTGTGATAGCATATAACATGGTCCTGAATTGTAGGCTCCTTGAGGGCAGGACAGCTTCCTGTTATCTCCCTATCCTCTGCTTTAGTGCCAAACTTCATAGAATAAGTTTTAAGGTGTCACTTTTTGCACAGAAGGTGCCTTGGAAAGAGCTGGTAAGACTGACCTGATCTATCTGCAGAGCTGGGATTTGGAAATTTACCAGAGTGGTCAATAGCCCTTGGCTCCTACATATGCAGAGCTGGTACACACATGACCTCATGTAAACCCTCAAATGGCCCTCTGATATGGAGTCTACTATTATGAGGAAACTGAGGAAAATATAAGTTTTGTATTGGGTTGTCAGAAAAGTCATGACGTATTTTTTTCTATGTTTTTCATTGCAAAAATGCATCATGACTTTTCCAACAACCCAATAATATACTCAAGGACACAGCGCTAGCAGTAAACCCAGATGTGAGTCCAACTGTGGGGCTGCAAAGTCCCAGCTCTTAAACACCTTGAACATCTCATGTTCCCTCATAGTCAGGCACTCTGTGTATGGCTTCCATTTCTGATGCCTTACACACACACACACACACACACACACACACACACACGTATACATTTAAATGAAGAAAAGCCAAAACGGTTACAAACACTGAGGTAGAATTTAGAAAATGAATGCTTTTAATACATGTATGCGATGAGACAATGCATAAGATGATCTCAGTATTTATGAGTACTGTTCATTCTTAGCTCATTGCAGGTGGTGTGGTTTATAAGGGAACTTAAGAGCTTAAGCTTCAGGTCCTTCCCGCCAGTGTCCAAGACCAAACAGGACCCTGTGAAAGGCTCCGAAAGCGAGAACGCTCCAAAGAGAAAACAGGAGGCTGCTTGTTTCTGGCCCATCTCCAGGGCCCACCACAGCTTGGAGCCTGGATTTGGAGATTCGTGTTTCCATACAGACCAGCAGGCCTTTTGAAGGAAGGTCAGGGAAATGGGGATCTCCAACCAGACAGGATCCTTTCTCAAATACCTCTTATTTCTGTGACCAGGTCAGTGGTGTGCAACGACCCTGAGATGACCCTGCCTCCAGCGTATGTCCCTCCAGACACCTCCAGACTGCGCCTCGAGCGGACAGCCATTCGCAGGGTGCCCGGGGAGGCCTTCAGGCTGCTGGGCCGTCTGGAGCAGCTGTGGCTGCCCTACAACGCGCTCAGCGACCTCAGCGCCCTGATGCTGCGGGGCCTACGCCGCCTGCGCGAGCTTCGCCTGCCAGGAAACCGCCTGGTCATCTTCCCTTGGGCTGCGCTCAGGGACGCCCCCCAGCTGCGCCTGCTGGACCTGCAGGCCAACCGCCTCTCGGCAGTGCCTCCCGAGGCCGCGCACTTCCTGGGGAACCTCACCTTCTTGGACCTCTCCAGTAACCAGCTGATGAGGCTCCCACAGGAGCTGCTGGCCACCTGGGCTCATCTGGAGACTTGGCCCTTCCTTGCCGGCCACCATGCCAGGCTGGTCCTAGGTAAGAGATGACATCCTTCACTTGGAACTGCCTTGGGGTTGTAGGCAGGCTACCAAGCCTCTCTGAGTTTCAGTTCTTTACCTGCAAAATAGAAATCACACCTGCCTCCTGGGTTTGAGTGAAGATTGAGTGAGAGGCACATATTGGCAGGTTTAGGAATTCAAGTGCCCAGTCAGACTGCAGCAGTTCAAATCCCAGCTCTGCCTCTTGCTAGCTGTGTGTCTTTGGTTTCCTTTTGTAAAGAGAAGATGATAAAAATATCTGTCTCAAAAGGGTAGTGTTGTGGGTGTAAAGACAGTGCCTAGTACACAGCAGACACATGTGGCAGGCACAGTGATGTGCCACCCAGCCTGGACTGGCTGCTCAGCTTCTGGAGGTGCTGTCAGCAGCAGCCTTCAGCTGTCAGCCTCATCAGGGAAAGCTTCAGCAGCAGAGCAGCCTTGCCTGAGGCCAAACCCCCTTTCTGGGGACAGTTTCCATCCAAAGGCCTATTAGGTGTGACTCTAAAACCCCAGCCATTTGGGACAACTCTGATGTGCTATTTCAGCTCCAGAGCCCCCCAGGGATTCACCAGGCCTGCATCACAGCGCCATCTGTCTCTCCTGCTTTCTTCTTTCCCCCTTAATAAGCCCGCTGTGCGCTAATCTTCACCTCAGTCTCCTTCAGGGCACTCAACTTTCAGCAGTCTTCAAAGCACGTGAATCCTCTCCCCCATGAGAAACTCCTCTAAGTACTAGGTACACGGGTCCTTCCGTGCCCTTTGCTAAGTGGCCAGTCCTTACTGGCCATCAGCATTCGCGTAGCACTGACGAGTCCGCAAAACTCATTCTTGCCCCCTCATAGAACTTGACCCTCACCACATCCCAGCGGTAGATAGTGCAAGTACAATGCCCTTTGTTTTATAGATAAACGCACATAAGTTGAGTGTTAGTAAGTGCAGGTTTTGGGCCTAAAGCTCCTGTCATAGAGACTGGTTCTCTTTCCCCTGTTCCGTGAGGGGGTGCGAAGCACAATGGGTGGGTAGAGAGGTGAGGTGGCTAGTATCAGAAAAGATGGGGTCCAGCACTGGGGGACTGGAGCAATCTTAGAGTGGCTTGGGGCAACTGCTGCCCTGAGGCTGGGGAGAGTCTCTCAAGGAGGGACTATGTGGGAGTTTCACCTCCTGGAAGCAGGGCAGGGAACAGCAAACCCCATTCCAGCTCCATCCTCCTTACAGACTTTCTCACCTGATAAAGGACATTATCTAGGGAAGTACTGATATGGAAAAATATTGCTGTTTATTTGAAAATCAAGTTTAACTGAGTGTCCTTCCTTCCCTCCCCCTCTCCCCAATATCTGGTAATTCTATTCCAACAACCATGTCAGGCAGCCAGGGCAAGGTGTATTGACCCAGTGTGACAAATAAGGGAAAGGAGGGACAAGAGAACTGGTAAGTCACACAGCCAGGAGACGGCCCCTGAGACTCAGTTTCCCAAAGCAGAGCTGAATGGGTTATACCAACTGGCCATTCTCTTTGATTCCGTCCTGTTCCTAACCAACCAATGGCTTGCCAGGTGAACCAGATCTTTTCCTCCCCAAGGCACCTGCCTGGCCCAGAGGATGACAGATGGGGACATAACTCATTCTGCAAAGTTAATTTTAATTTTAATTATACAACTCATACATGAATATGTGTAAACATTTAAACTATTACAGAAAAGGCTAAATCCCCTTTTGTCTCCTCTTCTGTTTCTAGTTCCTTCT